GGAACGCTCTCAGAGCGGCCGCGGCGCCCAATACGTCCTCCCAACCCGCCGATTCTCAGAGATTTCGAGCTATCCCGATCCGATTTTGTACCGATCTTCGCGTCGTTTTATCCGTACCCATTTCCGCCGGCCAGAAGGAGGAGGAGGAGGAGGAGGAGGAGGAGGAGAAGGAGGAGGAGGAGGAGGAGGAGCAGGAGCAGGAGGAGGAGGAGGAGGAGCAGGAGCATTTCGCGTCGTTTTTTCGGGCGTCCAGAACTGCCCGTGCGGAGGCGGCTCCGCCCGCGCGGCCCCGGCCTCGGTGGACCGCCCCCGCCGCGCGCCGGGCTCGACCCGCCGCCTCGGGGCCGCGCGTGGCAGGCCCGGCTCGCCTGCCTCGCTGGAAGCCTCGGCCTGGCTCAAAATCGGTGCCAAACCTGCGGTTCGCCCTCGGCTTCTCCTCCTCCTCCTCCTCCTCCTCCTCCTCCTCCTCCTCCTCCTCCTCCTCCTCCTGCTCCTCATCCTCCCCCTCCTCCTCCTCCTCCTCCTCCTCCTCGGCCTCACCGCAGGCATGCTGCCCAAAAACAGTGCCTCTGCAGCTATCAGGCACCATGTCCCGGCCCACCTGCAGGGCGGACTCGAGGTCGCGGTCGCCGTCGGCGAGGACCCTGACCACCTCGCCTCCCGAGTGGGCTGTGCCCCCATGCCCGAAGTCAGCGGCGTCGGCCATCAACGGAACTTCGGGATGCCGTTCCTGCTGCGCCGTCGGATGGCCAATGAGAAACTGCGCCACCGCGAAGCATCCGGCAACGATGCCACTGTCGGGAGGAAGCCTCACTGGCACCACCAGCCGGACCATGACGACGTACCGAATCCATCTGAAAGCATTGGCGGCCACCCTCCGAATGTATGCCCGGAGCACATCCCAGCTCGCCAAGTTCACCAGTTTAACAGTTGCAAGTGTTACGAAGCCTTTACCAAGTTCCACACCAGAACCAAGAAATGTTGCGAGGAGCGGGAAAGGAGGGTGGAAGAAGAGGAAGGGAGAAATAGGGGGCGCGGCCCGCGCGGCAGGGATGTGGAGGAACCTCAGAAGGGAGGGTGGATGGGACGTGGGTGCGGATTGGAGGTGAGAGGGGCCTGGAGGGGTCCAAGCATCCGGCGCCGCGCGACGACCAATTTTCCCCAAGTTCTGCGTCTTTGTGAACTTGCTCTGGGTTTGACACTATCGAACAACAATCCGCTGGGATAAAACAACTATCCCTAGAGACGGGTCTGACACGTCACAACAGAACACACGACGCCCGATGTCTGGGGAGGCAGAAGACAGCACGGGAGAGAGCACACAAGAGAAATTGAGGTCGGAAGTGGGAGGGGGCAGGAAGGAAGAACAGGGAGGGGGAAGAGTCGGAGGAAGCGAGGCATGAGCCACCTCCAGCTTCCTCCTCCTCCTCCTTCTCCCACCAGCTTGCTTCGGTTCCCAGGACCACCCTGGAAGCGCCGAGAGCCCCCTAGAATCCCCAGAACATCCCCTACGACTCGTCCTCCCACTCCTGAGAGAAGGAAAACCTCCCCTCCGACGTCATGCTGGTTTCGTTGCGTTGCGCCCTCCAAAGTCATCGATCCGTTCCCCAAGGCTTGTTCTTTAATGCTGAATAGTTTGATGTTGATCACCCCCTGGCCACGGACTTCAAAACCGAGCACGTAATAAACTTACCATCTCCACTGGTGGTTACTCCAGCGTGTGATTGGAGACAGAGGGGAAAGGGATATGAGCACCATGAACCCTATGGGCCTTTATGAGCCACATGAGCCCTATGAGCCCTATGAGCCCCATGCACCCTATGAGCCCGAAGAGCCTTATGAACCTTGCGAGCCCGATGAGCCCTGTGGGCCCACTGACCCCCATGACCCTCCTTGAGACATACGAGACCTATGAGCCCTATGAGCCCTATGGCGTACGAACCCTATGGACCCTACGAGCCCTAAGAGCCCTACAAGCCGGATGAGCCCTATGAACCCCATGAGCCCTTTGAGGCCAACGAGCGTTCTGAGCCTTATTAGCCCTGAGAGACCCATGATCCCTCTGAGCCCTACGAGCCCTACGAGTTTTTTGGGGGCCCTATGTGCCCAATGAGCCGTATCAGCCCCATGTGCCCTATGAGTTCTATGAGGCCTATGAACGCCATGACCCCTACGAGCCCTATGAGCCCCATGAGCCCCATGAGCCTTATGACCCCTGCGGGCCCTGCGCGCCCCATGCGCCCCGAACTTCCCCATCTTCAAATTCCGCCCCGAATTTCTAAGCCCGGGTCACAGCAAAGAGCTTACCAGTCCACTGTACCAAAGGACCCAGTGGACCGTACCAGCCCTGCGGGCCCCATGGGCCCCATGGGTTCATTGCCCAACCCGACCGCGGTGCGTGCGACTACGGGTCGACGCGAATCTCGTTGACGCCATGCGACCAAGATTTTAAAGGCGAAGCGAAGCGAGCCGGTAAAATCTTGTATATATATACACATACACATACATATATCAGAGTGAGGGGGCTGGATCGATAGGTCACTCACTGTCCCTGGGTGCGTGGCTGAAGTGGAATTCCGCGATGCGGATTATTGTTGTTGTTGTTGTTGTTGTTGTTGTTGGTGTTGTTGTTGGTGTTGTTGGTGTTGTTTTTGTTGTTGTTGATGCTGGTGTTGTTGTTGATGTTTTTGTTGTTGTTGGTGTTGTTGTTGTTGGTGTTGTTGTTGTTGTTGGTGGTGTTGATGTTGTTGTTGGTGTTGTTGTTGTTGTTGTGATTTGTTTATTATTGTTGTTGTTGGTGGTGTTGTTGCTGTTGTTGTTGTTGTTAGTGTTATGGTTGTTGTTGTTTGTGTTGCTGTTGCTGCTGTTGTTGTTGTTGTTGATGGTGTTGCTGTTGTTGTTGTTGGTGGTGTTGTTGTTGTTGTTGTTGTTGTTGTTGGTGTTGTTGTTGTTGTTATTGTTGTTGTTGTTGTTGTCTGTTGTTTGTTGTCGTCGGACCCACCCGCGACCCACCCCGCGACCCACCCGCGACCCACCCCGCGACCAACCCACGACCCACCACGCGACCCACCCGCGTCCCACCCGCGACCCACCCCGCGACCCGCCCGCGACCCACCCTGAGACCCCCCCGGCGACCCACACGCGACCCACCGGCGACCCACCCGCGACCCATCCTCAACCCACCCGCGACCCACACCCACCCGCGACCCACCCCGCGACCCACCGCGACCCACCGGCAACCTCCCGCGACCCACCCCGCGACCCACCCAAGATTTTCGGCGCCTTCAACGGGTTTGTTTTTTGCATTCGTTCCAGGTGGAAAACCTGCGACCCAACCGCGACCCAAACCGCGCCCGCGACCCACCCGCGACCCACCGCGACCCACCCGCGACCCACCCGCGAGCCACCCCGCGACCCACCCAAAATTTTCGGCGCCGGCAGCGGTTTTTTTTGTATTCGTTCCACGTGGAAAACCTGCGACCCACCAGCGACCTAAACCGCGTTCAGTGTACAAATCGAAATGTTTGTGCCTGCGGCGGGCTGTTTTTGAATTCCTTCCAGGTGGAGGTGGAGAGCCCGCGACCCACCGCGACCCAAACAACGTTTACTGAACAAGTCAAAAATTTCGGCGCTTGCGGCGGGTTTCTTGTTGCATTCGTTCCAGGTGGAGAACCTGCGACCCACCCGCGACCTAAAACCGCGTTCAATGTACAAATCGAAATGTTCGGCGCCTGCGGCGGGCTGCTTTTGAATTCTTTCCAGGTGGAGGTGGAGAGCCCGAGATCCACCGCGACCCAAACAACGTTTACTGAACAAGTCAAAACTTCGGCGCCTGCGGCGGGTTTCTTGTTGTATTCGTTCCAGGTGGAGAACCTGCGACCCAAACCGCGTTCAGTACAAATCAAATTTTCGGCGCCTGCAGCGGGCTGGTTTCGAATAAATTCCAGGTAGAAGTGGAGCCCGCGACCCACCCGCGACCCAAACTACGTTCACTGAACAAGCCAAGAATCGGGCGCCTGCGGCGGGCTGTTGTTGCATTCGCTCCGGGGGACTCACCAGCGATCCCCCCCGCGCTGAACTTGTCAGAGCACGACGACGACGATGAGGACGAGGATGCGGACGAGGAAGATGAGGAGGAGGAGGAGGAGGAGCAGGAGGAGGAGGAGGGCGCCATCGAAAGGGAAGGTGAGGGCCACGAGGTCCGCCGGCTCGACGCCCGCGTCGCCCGCGCCCGCCCCCGCACTCTTATCCGCAATGGCGGGGTGCTGCGTAGAATATAGATATTTGATAACACATTATGCACCAACAAATTTGAACAATAATACTACTACACTAATAATACTTATAATAATACTAATAATAATAAGAATCGTACTACTAATTATACTGATCTTAATAACAATAATAATAATAGTAATGATGATAATAATAATACTAGTAAAAAATAATACTAACAACAGTAGTAGTAGTAGTAGTAGTAGTAGTAGTAGTAGTAGAAGTAGTAGTAATAATAAGAATAAACGGACCTCTGACATCATTTCGGTGCTGTTCTTTCGACCCAGACGTTCTCTGCTGGTCCCGATCGGCCAGAGAGCGTTGCCACCGAGACGCGACGGCTCAAACAAGGCAACGTTTGTCAAACGTAGGACTGGCGGAGGATAAGGGCGGAGGAGAAGTGCGGAGGGCTGAGGAGGCGTGGGAAAAACGCCCTGGGGCGCCGCGCCGGGCTGGAGAGACGGGCAGCGGGGGCGGAGGAGGAGGCCGCAGAGGAGCGCGGAGGGGGAAGTGGAGGCCGGAGGAGGGCGGAAGAGGGCGGAGGAGGAGGTGGAGGAGGGCGGAGAAGGAGGAGGGGGGCGGAGGAAGAGGCCCGAGGAGGAGGTGGAGGAGGAGGAGAAGGAGGGCGGAGGATGAGGGCGGAGGAGGAGGAGGAGGAGGGCGGAAGAGGTGGAGGAGGGGGGCGGAAGAGGAGGTGGAGGGCGGAAGAGGAGGTGGAGGAGGGCGGAGGGCGGCGAAGGAGGAGGGCGAACGAGGCGAGGACAACGGGGGATGAGGCGCTCCGGCGGCTCGGGGTCGCGAGATCAGGACACCCACGCAGAATTCACCTCGGTTGACCGAGGGCCGCTCCTCCTCCTCATCCTCCTCCTCCTCCTCCTCCTGGCCATCCTCTCCCTCCTCCTCCTCATCCTCCTCCTCCCCCTTCCTCTTTTGTATCTCCTCCTCCTCCTCCTCCTCTTCATCGTCGTCTCCCTTTCTTGTTTTCCCTCGTCCTTCTCCTCCTTCTCTTCCTCCTCTCCCTTCCTCCTTCTCCTCCTACTCCACCTCTTTCTGCTCCACCTGCTCCTTCTCCTCCTCCTCCTCCTCATCCTCCTCCTCCTCCTACTCCTCCTCCTCCTCCTCCCCTTCCTCCTCGTCCTCCTCCTCCTCCTCCTCCTCATCCTCCTCGAAAGCTATGCTTAGCACGCTCTTGGCTTCACCCGACTCCGCTTCGGCACATTGCCGACGCACCTCTGACGTGCACGGCCTCTTGCTTGTCTGTCGACCGAGGCCCGGCGACATCTGGCTCCGGGCTGCTGCTTAGCCGATCCGTCTTATGGGGTCATGACAAGTCGCCCAAAGCAGCCAAGATCTGGTCTATGGTCTGTGGGGGGAGTACGGTCTCAACTTGTATTAAGGACGGGTGGAAAGGACGCAAGACCGTTGGAGGCCGAAGTTGGGGATTTGTTGTTTGGTCGGCGGGCGACCAGCGAAGAGGGCAAAGGACACTAGGGTACCCTAGATGAAGGCGCGCGTCCTTACTAGGCGCGTTGACTGTACGGCGGCCCGCGCCGATCGGCGGAAAACCGGAGGAGGATGAGGAGGATGAGGAAGATCAGGAGATGACGAGGAGGAGGAGGAGGAAGAGGAGGAGGAGGAGGAGGAGGAGGGGAGAAACATCGCCTGTGACGCCATACACCAAAAACAGCTGCACCCCCCCCCCGATATGCATGCCCCCCATATGCCTATCCCCCACCTATCGTTGCCCCTATTGTCCGTTTCGTGCATGTGATGTTGCTCGATGATCGAAGATTCAAGATTGTTTGTTTTGCTCGATGAACCAAGATGCTCGTAGACGGTCCTCGCCGCGATCCGGACCCCCGACGTTATGATTTCTTCATGACGTCGACCCCCAGAGGTCTCGACCCCATCCACAGGACTGGAATTTCTCATCCCGAGGACTGGCGAGGGCCCCAAGGGGCAGAAAAAACTGCGACAAACCTCCCGTCGCTGACTTCTTCACGACTCCTCCTCCTCCTCCTCCTCCTCCTCCTCCTCCTCCTCCTCCTCGAGAGGTGGGGCCGGGGCAACCAGGCGCGCGCCCGAGCGCTGCCGAGCCGCCAGGGCTCCGACGTTCAGGTGGAAGGACTGCGCGCCGCCGCCCTGGGCCGGGGCTGGGGAGTACCTCCGCGAGAGCCGGCAGCGAAATGAAATAAGAAGCCCCCTCCTCTTTCCCCTCCTCCTCCTCCTCCTCCTC